AAAAGAAAATGACAAAAAACTTCACCAAGAACTCGAATCATCATCGGCAAAGATTTACGGATTTACAGGATAAGGGTTATTAGAAACTAATTCAAACGCTAAATGTAGGATTAAACTGCATTTACCTGGAAATCAGTGGATTTCTTTGATGAAAGAGGTACGTAAAGATCAGCGTAGAAGAAGAGTCGATGATTCTTGAAACCCTAAACTAAGATCGATATACTTTTAGCAGAAACAGAGCAAAGAAGTATACAATCAGAAAAAGTAATGTAGACTGATAAAAAAGGCGGGAAGCTACAAAAGGTAAGCCTCGGTAACGAAGTGCGGGTGGTGCGAATTCTGTTCATACGGTTACAAAAATAACCGCTGGATTTTATCAACCAGTTGTCAAAGCTCATATATCCTAGAGAAATTGTAAATATGGTCTATGTCATTTTTTTTAAAGAAAGAGCAAAATACAAGCTCAACATATTATTTATCTATATTTAGAAAGACCCATGTATTATTTATTTGTTAATATTGTTCATGGCTTTACCATTTGACAAAAAACATAAGCAAAATAAAAAAATAATAATAATAATCCCATATGTGCATAAAACCATTCCAGCATGTCTTTAGTTGTTTTGTTTTTTTTTAATCTATCAAAATGTCAAATATCGAAGATCTCTAACAGGAAATAACCTTGTCTCGAAACAAAAATCAAAATGGCAACGACTAAAAAACAAACATCCAATTATGCAACTTAAACAGATTAGGGCTTCAAGCCTTGTAAGTGGTTGGTTGCATAAACTTCTTGAGCACCAATGGAAACTTGATATTGGAGTTATGAAACTGTTTTGTGGACTCCCTTTTCAAAAGCTTGACAGGGATGGTGGTGATCTTGATGACCTATATAGTTGCGGTGGTGGTGGTGGTGGTGGTGGTGGTGGTGGTGGTGGTGGTGGTGGTGGTGGTGGCGGCGGGAAGCCATCTCCGTGTACATTTTGCTCAATTGTCAGGGCCGATGACATAGTACGCCCATAGCAAAAAGAAAAATAGGCTCCCAAAATCATAAATATTATATAAAAACATATATATATATATATATATATATATATATATATATATATATATATATATACACATACACACACACCACATATTCTAAAAAATTGGGCCCCATAGAGACATAGGCTTTGGGCGATCGCCGGAGTCGCTTACCATATCAACTGCATCTTTAAGGATGGTGTTCATATATTCCTTGTACATGTTATGGTACTTTGTTCTTGATTGGTAGCTTAGTCAAATACCATAGTTTTGATGGTTCTTTGGTTCTTAAAAAAATCTTGTTGATTGCAACATCTCACCAATGCTTTTCTTCACCTTTCTCACGAAATAACAAAACTTGATCTTAGCTTATACAGTAAATCTTCATGTTTCTTCTAATGGTGTTTGGTAATAGAGGCAATAGAGAAAACCTAAATTGGGAAATTAGGTAGTTGGTGGGGCAGTTTAGGATTATTATTCAGACTGAGTGGGAGTTGCAATAGGTTGAAAGTATGGGCGCAGATGGGGGTATCAATATGGGTTGATGTTGAGCAAAGGATAAGCTTATCTAGGATGAGAGTGTGCGATTAGCAGATGTAGGGGAAGGGATGGAACTAATAAAAGGGTTTGGGAATTGAGTTCCTTGGCGCCTTCTCTTTATTGTTTCTAGTAATGGAGCCTTCAATTCCTTCTCTTTCTCAAACTCATACCCAATAAGACGAAGGAACTCTTTAGCATCTGCTTTGTTTCACTTCACATCTTTAAAACCCAACTAATGGATTTAACCCCCTTCCGATTTGAGTTTTCACTATCGATCGAAGCATGTAGATTGGAGCAAGAGAGCATCCTTGCTCCACCCCTTTCTTCAATGAGCCTTCCCCGAGTATTGTTGCTTTGTTTTGCTCTATAACTCGAACACTTTTGGTACAATGTCCCTATCTTTGGTAGTTGTTCCTATGCTTTCCTTCTCTTTGGCCTTCAACAAGTACTAGAATTTTCGGACCCTAAACGATTTCACAACAAATATATGTCATGTTATACTTCACTACAGGAAAAACACCTTGTGTTGACGACATTTATGCCAACGAAATGAGTCGTTGCTACAAATGAGGTTATTTTAACGACATGTCATCGGTATAGGGTTGACCAAGTTTGTTTGAACTAGGTATATATGGGTATATATGTCGACGACTTGTTGTAACCATAGCTTCGGCAGGAAAAACAAGTCTTCATGCTGTTTTCTCAAAACATGTGTCGACGACTTGTCGTCGGTATAGGTTACAAAAATTATAATTTCAAATTATTTATATTCTGTGGTGCAGAAATTGAAAAACAATGTCATTTTTGGGAAAGCTATCTCGACGACAAGTCGTCAGCATAAGATGTGGCAATCTGCATGAAATCTATCCCGGTGATAAGTCGTTGACAAATATAAATTTTTTTATTTTTTTATACGAGAAAAACAATACGACATAATTTTCTTTAACCCTATACTGACGACCTGTCATCGACATTGGGTTTAACCTCAACAAAATTCATTCGACCGAGTTCATTTGCAGCAGTGTCGCACTCAACTTTCTCTCTTGATCTCTCAACGGCGATCAAGGCCACCGATCACTCCCTTTTACCGGCGACGAGCTTGTATGATTCTAGGTCCTTCTTTTCTTCTTTGTTTGTGATTGCTCATGTTTTTTACTCCGACTTTGGGGGTTTTCCCTTTTCCTTTCACAACCCTTCACCATGGTCGGCCCTTCACCACCATCGACATCTACATCTCCTTCCGGTGATTCAGCAACCTACACTGCTGAAGGTAAGGTTTTGATTTCAGTTTTTTTTCCTGATTTTGGTTGGAATATGTTTTTTTCTTATGTTAATGCTCATTGTGATGTATTGTATAATTATATGAAACTAGAAGTGGGTATAATTTGTTTGATTTTGTGGTTAGATGTATTGTATAATTGTATGAAATTGGAATTGGATGTATAAAATGTAAAGTGTTTAAGTTTATTAGTTTATCTCATTTAGATTTATTGCATAATTATATGAAATTAGAATTGGAATTGGATGTATTATATACATGTATGATTGTGTTAGTTGTTTAGGTTTATTTGATAAAGTGCCTAATTGATAAGTTAAAGTGTTTGTATTTAATTTCATGATAAATACTTAATTAATAAGTGCTTAATGTGTTTCTATTTTCATGGTAATTGCTTAGTTTGTTTTGTAAGTGAATGATTAATGAATAGTTTCTATTGGTTTTGTATTGTAAAGTGCTTAAGTTCTTAATATGTTTTTATTTTCATGATAATATGGTTTGACAATGCTTAATTTTGTTAATGATTTAATTGTAATCATTATGATTTTAGCTAAATTAGGTAATATAATTGTTTAAGGTACAATGTTATAATTAAAAAAAAAGTAAATTGTTATAATAGAAAAAAACAAACGTTTAAAGAACAATGCTATAATTAAAAAAAAACAAAAACAAGATGCTCTAAATACTCTAAATATGAACAAGAATTGAAAATAGAACACTTTAATAAACAAAATAATGAAAGTATGTTGCTCTTAAAGGTACGATGTTATAATAGAAAACAAAAGTATGATGTTGTAATTAACAAAAGTATGATGACATAATTAATTAACAAACAAAAGTATGATGCTATAATTAACAAAAGTATGGAAAACGTTGAATAATCGACTTTTAGTTTAATTATTTTCTTTATAATTATCAAGAGCCTAGAAATACCCGATCGAAATAGATTTAAAAATTAATTTTGGGTTGTCCCTATTTTGAGACTGCTTTTTGAATACTTTATCTCATTTAGGATGCCAATGTGTAGCATGATTGTTTGTATAAGAAAAATATGGTTGTCATTTTCTCTTTGCTCCCACGGTATATATTTATGTATATACTTGTGAGCTAAGGAGAAATGCTGCAAATTTTTTCTCAAACAAACAAACATGCAATAAACATTCACATATGAGATAAGGTATTTAAAAGTGGGTTTAGAAGACTACCCTTGTGAATACTCTATCCATTCCGTCTGATTTTCACTTCTCAGGTTAAATATGAACCATAAGTTTTTCTAGCTTATGTATCAGTATTATAGGGTACTGTGGTCTGCCAAATCATGGTTCAATATTATAATCTGTCCGAACTATACACCTTAAAAACATATGGCTTGATATCCTTGCAAGATGCCAGGATTCATTGAACCACGACTCAACATAATTATTAGTATAGTACATGGCTCTTAATAACTCACTGGCTGCTAAATCATGGTTTCGCATGATAGGTTTCAAGATTATGATCTAGGATCAATTAAAACATCGCAATTTCGTAAGATCGACCTCTCGAATTGAAAGCTTAAAATAGTATCACGTCTCTGTGTCAATCAAGATCATACAACCTTAGAGGGCTAAACCACTCAAATAAAATGCATGATGTTATTTAAGATACTCAGTTTTCTAAATTCAATAGTATTATGGCTAAAATGTAGTTTCAATAGCAATATATAAAGGGGGTTCTAGGCAGAAAAGCTCATATTGATATATAAAAGTCACAAACACACATATGTAGATATACTTGTGTAATACTGTTTGATACCATCATCCAGAAGGCTTACATATCAAAATAATAATTTCAACAAGAAGGAAACATAATTCAAATATATCAAAACAGAAAACAACAGTTACACATTCCACCTAACAAAAAAAAACCCAGCCCAGTCAAACACGAGCACTTGTATCATTACGGCTGCTCCAACACCTTCAACTTATCTTTCAACAGATTCACATCTACCTTATCCCCCTCCACAATACCGAACAAGGAATACTTATAAGTTATCATATCAGCAAAGTGGTCGAGGATTCAACACTGAGCATTAGGATAAGAATAGATAACACTTTTTTCCTTCCAAAGCCTCAATACACTTTTATTTCATTTCAATGCACGCTTGATGCAACCCAAGTTAGATAGCCGCAGTTTGAAGAGCGGTGTTGACATTACCAAAATCCGGAGAATTTAGTACAACCCTAACGAATGAAGGAATACCTTCCTTTATCACCCATTAAAGAGCAAACAGATACCCCTCGAACACTGCTTAATGCTTCAACTCATTTTGCTTGATGGAGGATTGGACTTCACCAAGGGACATGATCTTAGCCTCTTTGTTGGTGATAAGAACCTTGTGAGCAGCAAAGCCCTCCTCTAACAATTTAATATGCACGTCCTTGTCAGAGCAAGCAAACTCCAGCTGTGATACCTTTTCGGTATAACGAAGCTTCAAAGAATCGAACTTTTGGGATTTTTCCTCTAGCTCCTTACTCGCTTCTAAGTATTGGCCAACCATATTACCAAATTTAATTCAAAGATCTTGATTCATTTTCTTCAACTCGTCTTGACAACGGACACTCTCACTCTTGTCAATCAACAAATGCTTATTCCTCTCAGACAAGCCTAGTAACTCCTCCCAAAGTTTTTTTTAGATTTTTCTTTCAATTGTTCATGACTAGTATGCAGACCTTTCAATGCATGTAAACCTCCTCAAATCTAATCTGCTTGTTCACAAGAATTTCACCACGTATCTGCGTGTGAGCAGGGAATTCATTCAGTAAATACATCATTTCCATGAAGAAGGAACAAGCTTTATCAAGGTGGTCTTCATCTGACATGGTTGAAAGTTCTGGACTCTTGGGAACTGTGGTTCTGGAAAAAAGAATGTTAAAATTGAGGTAGTGAAGTTGCAAGTGTAACAATCGTGGGTATAGGAGCATCCTTATCGTAAGAATGTAAAACTGAAATGTAAAAATAAAGTTATCATTACCAAAAGTAACAAGAAATCTTGGAATAAATGAATAACATAGGAGGAAAAACATACCAATCAGATCTGAAGAACTCTTAGAAGCACGGACAGGTGAGTCAAGATGAGCATTATCCACAAACAAGGTCGCAGTATCCAAAATCTCCATAAGGGAGGAGGGAGTCGTTCCCTTTCAACCCACCGAACCCACTGCCACATCACTTTTTCTCTTTTATTTTTCTTCATCTTTCCGAACCCACAACACACGGAAATCCTATCTTTTTGAACCCACTCAACCCACTCAATTAAAAAAATACAAAACAATGAAATGTAAAATCTTAATTAGCAATAGAGTTATCGGCGGTACCACTCCCGCTTCAACGAGTGGGTTGATTGGTTTCACCAACCCACTTCATCATCTCTATCTACTTTCTCTTTCTTATTTTCTCTTGTACCATGTGTTTTAAAACTTGTACCTTAGTTGTTTTGTATTTTTTTTTAATTGAGTGGGTTCAAAAAGATAGGATTTCCGTGTGTTGTGGGTTCGGAAAGATGAAGAAAAATAAAAGAGAAAAATTGATGTGGCAGTGGGTTCGGTGGGTTGGGAGGGAACGACTCCCTCCTCCCTAAGAATGAAGATGGAACTGCCAGGGGCATCTAAACTGGAAGGAAGGGAGTCTACGGTCATGGTTATTGATTCAATGTTAGATGCTTGAAAATGACCGAACCCAGAAGCAAAAAGCTTTTTTTGAAAAACAGACATAGCAGAAAGAACAGATGAGGGTTTGTTCTCCGATGTTGGTTTGATAGAATTAATGAGAGGAATATTATATAAATCGATGAGAGGAATGTTATCAGAATCAAGATGAGGATGAACGTCAAAAGGGAATACCCCATTGTCTGACTCGGGAATGTTTTCCTCGACATGCTTCAGCTCTAGGGTAGACGTCACTGGGAAATCATGAAGTTCAACATTCGAGGTTGTCTATAAGGGAAAGTCAGGATTTGATGCCTCCATTGAAGGCTTGGTGCTCAAATTCGTCAGACCATAATTTTTTGAATCATCACCACGACCGAACCACTTCCATTTGGGAGGGGAGAGATCGATCACATTATTAGATTAATTTATTATACCTTCCAAGGAAAGGGTTTTTTCCGCTTCTACCCCACCTTTCCTCTTAGACGATAAGTTCCTAAGATTCACCATAGTAGAAGAATATGGGGGTCTCCTATTGCCAATCTCCACATTCAAAAGTTTCTTTGTTAGAGAAGGGGCCATTGGCGCTGTAGATTCTGAAAAAAAAAAAAGGATTCATGAAAGAATCAGTGCTAGATTCTGACGAAGAAGGAGATATAGGTACATATACTTCTTCGGTAACCAAAGAAGAACCAACCAAGAATTTCCTATGTAACCGCTCTAATAGAGTAATTTCACAAACCGCTATGGTTTCCGTGGGTTTTTTCCCCAAAATTTTCAATTAAGAGCTTACTGTGACATCCCCAATTTCACGGCCAGAAAAGACCGATTTGTTTATGCTTTGTTTTATAAAATCAGAGTAATCCTTTGATTAAAAGAGTTGTGAAATTTGTTCCCAAAACAAAATATGATAAAAACTTATCAAAGCATTTCTTTAAAAAAATGTATTTTCATTAAATAGCAAAATCTCGGGATGTCATGTTCCGATACAGACCAAAAGCATAAACAATATAAAATAGACCTTACAACAGTTATTTATAACTACTGATCTATAATCCAAAATCTCTCGTCAAGTCCACCAACTTATACCCTTGGGCCATTACCTGTAATGCAAAGAAAACTGAGTGGGTCAGGCTTGAGAGCCTGGTGAGCATATAGAGTTTTCAACCCACAGTAAGATATTATATTATATTTAATCATCAGACAATCAACCCAAATTACTCATCCCCATTATCTCCTTCTGTTTCTTAAAGCTTTACCCTAAGAGTCAATTATCCTTCATTCATTCATTCCTAAGGATTGACTTAAGGGATTGGCACAAAATCCATTTGCTACCATGGTTTATACAACAGGCACTACGTCACATAGTCGCCAGGGTTTATACAATAGGCACTACGTCTCATAGTCACCAGGGTTTACACAATAGGCACTACGTCATATAGTCACCAGGGTTTACACAATAGGCACTACGTCTCATAGTCACCAGGGTTTACACAATAGGCACTACGTCATATAGTCACCAGGGTTAACACAATAGGCACTACGTCTCATAGTCACCAGGGTTTACACAATAGGCACTACGTCTTATAGTCACCAGGGTTTACACAATAGGCACCACATCTCATAGTCACCAGGGTTTACACAATAGGCACCACGTCTCATAGTCACCAGGGTTTACACAATAGGCACTACGTCTCATAGTCACCAGATATTTCATTTACCCATGTTCTACCCAACATATTTGTAGATATAAAATACATATACGGTTTAAATCATTCAAAACCTGTATAAAACATCCATTCCACACCCATCTCAAATAAACAAACAATACATAACACATAGCACGTATTTCATAGCAAATACTTCATATTTATGTGTTAGAAGAAAGTAACTACACACTCACTTGATAATACAATGATCGGACATCACTACGGCTCTTAAAGCAGAAATTCTTCGGTGAAACTGTGATCTCTTCACACACCGGGCTTCTCGCGGGCAGAGCTTCGGCTCAGAAACTCTTTTCTTCTTGGGATCTTCGGAGCTTCGGGACTCACTTCGGGTCTCGGGATGATACCGGGGCTTCGGGGGTACTTCTTTGCCCGTAAATCGATGTAATACTGGTGAGAGAGAAGAGATTTGGCAAACACAAACGGCTGCCCCTTCAAATCTATTTATAGGGCTGTTTTCTTGATTTTCACGTCGTGAACAGTGCTCCAACGTCGTGGGCATAAACGTCATTGCATGCGTCATCGGTCCACTTGCTCTGTCAGGCTCCAGAAGGCGTCAGAAGTCAGTTCACATCGTGAACACTGTTTTCACGTCGTGGTCCCTGACACAGCTTTGGGGTTCACGCCCCGAACTTCAGAAAATCATAACTTTCGCATACGAGTTCTGTTTTCGACGTTCTTTATATCCACGCGTAGGTGAGATTATGCTCTACAACTCTCGTTTAGACTCCATCTGCTAGTTTTGATTTATTTTTATTATATTTTTATTATATTATTTTTAGTAGGCCGGGACAGGAAAACTTCGTTAGAAATTCATAACTCCTTCATCTGACGTCCGTTTTCGATACCGTTGGACTACTATCAACGAGATCTTCGATTCTCGTTTAGAATGTTTCGGCTAAATATCGCTCGATCTCATATTCGAACTTCGGGCTGTACACTGCTAAGCCGAAACTTCGAAAAATCATAACTTCCTCATACGAAGTCAGATTTGGGCGTTCTTTTCATGCACGCTCTTGGTTTAACGTATTCTACGACTTTCGTTTAGATCGCTAAATCCAAATATCGCTCTATCGTAAATTCACTATTTACGTCGCGTTGTGTCGTGCCGGTTCTGTCGCGAAACTTCGACAGATCATAACTTCTTCGTTATAACTCGGATTTCGGCGTTCTTTATATTTTCGGAAACCTTGTGACATATACTATAACTTGGTTAAGATTAATCCTTCTAAATAATCTTCCATAAAAAAGCCATTTTTGATGCTTATTGTCTCTAAATTGACTAGCCCTGGTCTACGGGCGTTACAATTATCCCCACCATACCTAGCATTATATCTTTAGGATCTACCCATTTGACAAAGTTCTCTGATAAACGACCTGCAATACTTTGTTCTTCAAGAGATAAATCAGGAGAAGGGTCGGCAACCCTGTCAGCAGTAGCACCATAAAAGATACGCACAACAAAATTGGAGGCATGAACGAAGAAGAACTCTTCATTCCAATACTTTATAGAAGTAGGAAGGCCGTCACAAATCTTCAACAAGCCATGGCGAAGGGAAAAACATACCCAATCGCCATTAGACATAGTAACATAGAAATGGCGAAATAGGGTGACAGAAGGCATAACATCTATGGCGGAACATATCATCACAAAGAAAATGATTTTCCAAAAACCATTGGGGTTATTTAAATGATGCGTAGATAATAGTAGTCGAGTACTGCCATCAAGAAGTCAAATACGGGAAATCTCAGACATGATTTAAAGAAAACCCGGTACACACCAACAAAACCTTTTGAAGCGTCAACAATGGCATTCCTAGGCTCGGGCAAACGCTAATTGAATTCAGGATCAATAGGATAGTTTTTCATGATATCATGGAGCTTCTTAGAGGTAATTTTGGAATTCATGGTGTGAATACATGAACTTTTTTCTAGCCATGAGAGAATGAAACGAAGAAGTGAAAACAACAAGAGGAAAATGAAGAGCAATTTAAAAACGATCACAGGCGGTGAAGAAAAATAACCAAGCAAGAAGGGTATTTATAGGGAACCAAGTAAAGCTACATTGATGAAATAGACAAAGTGGCAGGTATACACTTTAGACACTTTAAATGAAATAGACTTGAAGATACAGTCATATGCAATGATGAATGCTAGAAGCCGCCGAACCGTTATGTCAAAATTCAATTAAGGTGTCTATCCTTATCCGGCTAACGATTATTTGGCAAGGCTTTTAAGTTTGAATTGTTACGTTTGGAAAAAAGCAACAATCCAAATGGGGTGGGGGGGACTTAATATATAGTTTAGCCCGAGGCTACGTCCATACCCTCACTATACCAAACAAGGTATATACCGAACTAGATAGCTACCAAACAAAGTATACACCGAACTAGATAGCTATTGTAGAAAGTATACACCGAACTTAGTGTGTATCGAACTAGATATTTACCGAACCATATACATACCGAACTATGCACGAGTACCATACTATAGAAAATAAGGACTAAGGTACGAGATAACGTCACAAAAGTGTCATAGTACATTAGGACTCAAAGAAAACAACCTGTATTGGGATACGTGACCCGATGGATCCTTTGACCAACGAGAAACAACTGTTAAACGGCTAGTAAGTACATAAAAGTGTACCTTCGGGCATACGACCATTAATGCGACAAGATGAAAAACCTGCTCGGTATATGAAGATCTTGTAACCTCCTAATATCGACTATATTTAAGTGACCAGAATCACTCTACAAGGTACATACCAATTCACACATCATATTAAGCCTCATTTCGACTCACAATCTATCTTCTCAGGATCGTTACTGACTTTATCATTGGAGCGTTGGTCTGGGATCTCCTCCCGACCAATTAGCTTACAAATTTGTTTGTAGTCTCCAGGTTGATTAATCGTGAAAGAGTCGTTAACAATTAACCCTCACAACTGATGGAAGGCGAATCCTAGGGCGCAACAAAATGTACAAATAAAATGATGTAATAATAATATTATTTTTTGGTTTATAGACCCTAAGTGTATCATCATAAAGAATATATATATATATATATATATATATATATATATATATATATATATATAAATTAATATTTTTTCTTTATTTATTATAAAAAAAAAAGTTAATGATACGATATCATGTTTAATAGAAATTAAATTGATTCCTACTTTTTATGCCTACAAATGTTCCTACCCAATAAAATTATGACAAGTGTCATCATTTCATATTTTTTTAACTAACTCATTAAGGCTATATTAGGAACTAGGTTAAAACCCGTGGAACCCACGAATCATAATTTTAAATAGAATTAAAAAAATTGATTATATAATAAAATAATATATCATTAATTTAGAAAAACTTATGAATTGAAATATTGTATTTTTTTAATAACTTTGTAATTTGTAAGTATTTAATTATACATGTAAATCCACCTATTTTATAAAAGTCATGAGTTTGTATAATGCAACATATTTTTGTGTTAAACGACTTATAATAAATTTAAACCCGTGGAAACCACGATTAAAAAGGAAAAACAATATTCATAACTTGTGTACTATACGTTATTAGAGTAAAGCAAATTTAAAATATCCATTATGTTTGACAAATATTTTTTACCCTTTTGAATATTTGTCATTAATACTATGTTTTGTCAAATGTGTCAAAAGATTATGAACCTAAAGAACTTATTCTTCCTTGAAGAAGGAAAATATTTTTTTAACTAAATGAAAATATTTTTAGCTTATTTTTGGTGAATGAAAATATTTTTAAATGATATAACATGCAACTATCATTTTTTCTCATTGAAATGTTTACATCAAATAAGTCAACTATTGTCCTTCTTAGATGAATATATACAAAAATGAAACATACTTCATATAACTAATTGTTTAATATAAAAAATAAGTTTGGAAAACTAATTACGTTTTTTAGCAATTATACAAGTAACAATAAAGTAATTACCCAATTTCTTTTTCATCTTTCTCGTTTTCTTTTATTATTTACCGATTAATATAAAAATAATAAATATTTTTTATATAATCAATTGTTTAACAATAACTAAGTGCTAAACCTTTATATATAACATTTTAGGCAATTAATATAAGTAACAATCAACTATTACCACAACTAACATCCACAAAATACTTAAGCAGATGTTAAAACTTAGTATTGATATGTAAAAAAATATCAAGTATGAATTTTAATCACAAACAAATTTAAAGAAATGCCCATCAAAACAATCAAGAAGAAACTAACATATAAATCGAAGGAGCACATGATCTGTGAGATTTTAATTACTTGTACAATTGACTAATAATTTGTATTGATCAAATACAAACAAAATAAGAAAATAAGCTGATAGAAGTTTGATCAACTAAGTTGACAACACCCTTGCCCAAAATGCCAGATCTTTAAGTACCCTGAGATCCATATCATAATTGATAACACGTAGAAATGAAAGTGGGATACTTTAGTAAATAAATTAATGAAATGTACATTTCTTCTATCATAGAAAAGTATTCCAAAAAGTAAAAAATAAGCTAATACATCATATTTCTATCAAAACTTAAACTTATAGAAATTAAACTACTCTGACCCAAAAAAACACTTACCCATACAAAAAGAACATCAATTCCTTTAACATGCCTATCTCTCCATATGCTTAGCTTCTTAACCAATTTCAACCATGACCTTCTTATCAACATTCCCTTCATTGCGACTAAAACCAAGATGATTTTTGTTAATCTACTGTTAAAACATATGAAAATTCAAACCTTCATTTCATTAGTAGACGGGAAACAAATATTTGGTAATCAACAACTAATATCTCATATATGTACCCAATTTCAACCAGTTTAATCTGAAAAATATAAGGGAAGTTACACGTTCGTACATCAAGCCTTAGTAAATTGTAGAAGAAAGAATCATTATATAAAACAACAACAATTTTCTTTCCTATGTCTTGCATTTAACTGAAAAGGTAATATTACGGTCATCATCAATGCGATTAATATTTAGAAGGCAATGGCCTTTACATTCCCTTCATCTGCCAGCACCTAGAGAAAGCACATAGCTTAGCCAACTAAAATCGAACTCCCAAATAAAATATGATTTCTTTTGAACATAAGAGAGAAATAACAAAGAGAACATGGAGTAAGCGCCAGGGTCAAGGAGTCCAACATTTGTAATTGCATTAGTCAGTGTTGTCTGTCCATGATCGACATGTCTAAATGTTCCAAGATTTAAATGAGGTTTTCTGAGATGGATAAATCATATCATTAAAATATGCACAAAACAATTTTACCTATTTTCCAAATCAAACTTGTTAAAAGGAGTATCTAACCAATAGAACAAAATAGTTCTTAAAATGCATTAGTATTCATTCCACAGTCTTGTTAAAAGACTGTATTTTACCTGGAAGAGACATACCAAGAAACCTGATGTAGTATAGAGTTTTCAATATATTATGCACGTTTGGGATAATGGCTCCCATCATCATTCCTGGTCTCAACCAACATTAAAAACATAGAAGATGTAACTTATAATCAGTCTACGTTCTTGTATATCTACTCAATGTTGAAAACTTAACTAATGAATCAACATAGTAATCATGAATTCAAACTAAATCTTATAGGTTCTTTCAAGCATTTCATCAAGCATTTGGCGTGCATCTTTAAAGCAGCAAACTTTGAAACACAAAAAAGAATATAATAAGCCCCAAATTAGTTTTATTATCTCTTCACGAATTAGTTTTATTATCTTTTCACGGACCATCTTTGTTAGAAAGAAGTAAAACTAATAAATTTCTCAAATCTATTTTAGAGTTATGTGGTTGGAAATTGAGGAAATCAGAAGATTGATGAAATAAGAAAAAAAACGTACCAGATATCGTTTGCTCTCGACTCTAGAGTGACGAAATGAGAGAAATCAGTCATACTGAAATCGGATACTATGAATTACGAAATCAACACACACACATCGTTAAACACACACAATATATTTAGTGTTTGGAGGAATAAGGAGAAGGTTGTACCTCCAAAATTAAGAATCTTGGGATTTTAATGTGAGGAAGATACAGAACCTATCGTCGCTTTTTCGTCTTCTTGAATTTAACACCTCGTGTAAGTAAACTTTCAAGCTTTCGAAATATTTAAGGGGCGACTGATTTACAACTGAAGGGAGTGAATTAGGGATTTTGAAATCCAAATCACAGCTAATCAAGGGACCGAAATTTGAGGATGATTGAAGATTTAGAAGATAAATTCTTGATTTTCGGATTGAAATATGAAAATTGAATATGAAAATATTTGAATGGTAAATGAACATATAAGGGCCAGAGGGATAATTTTGAAATTTCATTTTGATAAAATGAGCGGCAATATAAGCTAGGAGAGGGCTTGGAGAATGCCACGTGACATTTTGGGTATTGTTTTATTAGAAGAGAGGATATATCAAATAAAATTAAATTGAATGGTGATTTGTCATAATTTTAGTGGATGGAAATAATTGTAGGAATAAAAGGTAGGAGGTAATTTAATTTCTCTTAAGGAAAACATTGTTAAATTTAATAAAGAGAAATTAAATTGATTCTTACTTTTTATGCTTACAAATGTTCCTACCCAATAAAATTATGACAAGTGTCATCATTCCATAATTTTTTAACTAACTCGTTAAAGCTATATTAGGAATATATCAAATAAAATTAAATTGAATAATGATTTGTCATAGTTTTAGTGGGTATGAATAACCGTATGAATAAAAGGTAGAAGATAATTTAATTTCTCTTTCCTTAAATAGAGTCATTCTCCATTCGAATGAGATATTTCCAACTTATTAGAAATATATAATAATATGTTTTTTTCTTATTTATATAAGAAACTTTTCAAAAAGACTTTTTCTATTTTTGTAAGAAATGTGTATTTGAAAGTGTTTAATATATATTTGTTTTACATTGTTTTAATAATGTATATAAAATATATATTTGGAAATGTTTAATATCATTTTTTTCAAAAAAAAAATATATAACATTTTAAAACCCATGTGTAGTATATATACTTCTCATTTGCAATGTTTTTTTGATAAATTTTTGTTAGATTTTAGACTTCGAGTCAAAAACCAAGTATTTTTTTCAAAATTTCAGGATTTCAATTTTTATAATCTTTTTATGCTTATCCCTAAAAAATTCAAAAAGAAAACGGGTTGACTAAATTGACTCTTTGGCTTTGTTGATAGCACACAATTACTTTCCAATAGCCCGAACCGATCAAAGAAAAAAAAATGTTCGTAAGAATTGCATTCCCACCAAAACTTCGCCAGACCGGTACGCCTCCCGCGTTCTTATCATGGGATATTCCTTCTCATTTTTTTCTTATGTTTATCTAATATTTATCTCTAATATTTTTGTTAAAAGATTGCGACTTGTTATAAGCTTCTTTCATGCCGTTAAAGTCTTCAAAGTAATAAAAAAAAGGATGCATAATGAGGAAGTATGTGAGCGTTAGGGTTTTATCCATCTCTCTCAAGAAGAAACTTATCCATTACAGACATCATTGACACCGCTTTCCTCAAAGCTTTCAATTTCTTTCAAAGTACATACATCGATCATATAGCGTTTCTTTTTTCAATTTTTTCAATTGTTGTTTCTAATACGCTTATCTTGTAAACTCATGAGGTAAACTCATTGCTGAAAATCCCAGTTATTGGTGAAGTTGATGACACTTTCTTGATAGTTCTATATAGTGTACGTACGTTACTTTTTTTATATTTTTCACATGCAGAGTTTGTATGTGATTCTCATAAGACATAACTTCCCTCAATATTTCTCTAATACTCCAGAATGGCTACAAAGACCAACAAGGATTTTCGTAAGGGCTGCAAGTGTAAGAAGTCCAAGTGCGTGAAGCTGTAAGTTAGAATTTCAGTATGCTTTTGTATTATAAAGTCATGAACAATACGATTGTTGGTAATCAGAACATTCCTTTGCAGTTATTGTGATTGTTTTGCTGGTGAATTTTATTGTGGTGAAGATTGCTCTTGCACAGAATGCTTCAATCGAGTTGAATATGAAGATACAGTTGAGGTGGCACGTGAGAAAATAAAAGTGAGAGATCCACTCGCATTTGACCCCAAGATTCATCCCGTTGTTCAGTCTACAAGAAGCCACAATGTATGATCTTTAAACTTGGCTATATATAATAACTACATGCTAATTAATTGATTCTTAATGAATAATGGTTCCCAACAGGAGGGTGGAAATCAGGTGATGCCAGTTGTAGGAAAACACAGAAAGGGTTGCACTTGTAAGAATTCAATGTGCTTCCAATTGTACTGTGAGTGTTATAAGGTTGGTTATTTACCTTGTATATGATTTCAGTTCATGTCTAATTCTCTTTACTTCCCCTCAATTATGGAAGCAACAATTTTTTGCCATACACAATAATTTATGTTTTATAGAGTTTAATATGCATAAAAGAATGTTGTCATTGTTGTATATGGCAAAAAAAATGTTGTGTATGAATCAACTCTTACAATTATGTGTTGAGTTGTGAAGTCTAATTACTGTGGTTGAAATATGATACTTGATAGTTTTAGGGTGAAAATCAAATACATAGTTCTGTATATAGAATATATCTCGATGTAATTGTGAAAATCATCCAGAAATTAATAATAAATATCTCTAGTTTGCTTGCAGAAGTAACACCAACCACATAAATCTTTTATCTTTACTTTTCATTCTTTTATCTTTACTTTTCATTGAATCTTTAATTTTGTGGTTGTCTGTGGAAAACCTAACAAGAAGTTCATCCCACAGGCTAATGTTGGATGCAGTGTTGGATGCCGATGTGAAGGATGTAAAAATGGGTTTGGCATAAAAGGAGGTAAACTAGATATGCATCATGTACATCATTAAGGCTTTTTTTTTTTTTCTAATTTAATGGGCTTTATGTTAAAAACTAATCAACTTGGACAACTATATATAGTTATTTTCTTTTTCACTTAATCTTTACAGGATAACGTACGTTACAGTTGATGAATATTGTTAATATTTGATTTATATTGCAAAAATGTAAGGATAAATGACCATTCAGCCCGAAGATTATATTTTTCAGAACACACTTTAATTTACTCCTAAACTCTTAGTTTCCCAAATGTAATTTTGGAGGAAGGATATCTCAGCATCCAAGTGACATGTTTATCCCTACGATTATATGCATGAATCGTTTTACTTTTTGCTGTTAAGTGTGGATTCATGTATTTATTGCTAGTAATAATTCCTTATATCTTGTATTCCAGAGTACAATGTGTATAATATTGCACCTCAAACCATGAGAGCCATCAATGAGAAACCAAACGATTGTGAAAACACGAAATTGGAGTTCACTAGGTTGGAATTTTCTCCTCCTGAATCCCGTTATCTTCAAATCTCGACTCCTTTGACAAGGTTTCAATATCCAGAGTAAGATCTTTATCTTGAACTTTTATTTTGACTCCAAAAGTCATAAATTTATGTAGTATTTTTTTCTTTTTGTCTAGCCATGGAAATGATGCATCAAGAACCGAAAGTTACATTAATCCATCACCAATATCTGCAATCAGTGGCGTGATAGGAACAAGTACAAGGGAGTTTGATATTGGTCCTTTGAATCAACAATCATATCCATACGTGGATCAAAGCATGGATAATCAGCTTACACCTGGAGAGATCAATGAAATGTTGGACTGGAACCCTAACGAGACCCTTATATATACTACTGTCAACAACATGACTCAATATACCAAGTGAGCCTTCTATCCTTTCATGTACAGGCAACGTGCATGTATGCATGTCTTCACCAGATGATATAAGTGAGATTCTCAAGAGCTATAATAGTGGGAAAAAGCAGAACAAAAAGTTGACATTACCTTTTGGTACTTTTTTTTTTTCTTGTTGCCTCATGTATTGATGCAATGTGGATGTGAACCTATCAAGTTTGAGGACTAGGGATTTGCAAGTGATTTTAGGTGGCCATTGGGTCCAAATCCTATTTCTAGTTTTTACTATATATTGATAATCATACCAATTTAAATGGATAACTACATTACAAATATTTGGAACCGCCTTTCTAATTACTCTTGGCTTGGATATTTCTCCTTGCTTCGCAAGAGGTATTAATTTCTGGTAGGTTATTAATTACCTAAGAATTACTTTTTTTTTTTTTTTTTGAAATGAAAAATTTATCGTCCTCCTAAACTAGTAACTAGTCTTTAAATCCACTTATGTCCACGACGGGACTTGAACCCTCAACCTTAAGGAGAGAAAGCAATATCGTATACCGTTGGGCTACAAGTCCTTTGGTAATTACTTGGTTTTGGTAAAAAAAAAACTCACCACACGGTCTAAAGATCTGATCCCATAAGATGTTGTCATGTGATGGTTGAAGAGTCTAATTAAGTGATAACAAATCTCATCTCCTTCGAATATCACATATTAGTAATTAAGTTTCAACCTCATGAATAAATAGGTGCATGGTGTTTGTTTTTTTTTTTTTTTTGTCAAAATTTCTGCGTGTAGGAAAACATATAAGAAAAAAAAAAAAACTTTTTTTCCAAAACACAAAAGATATGAAAAAAAATCTTTTTTACATGTTTTTCTTTTAAAGACAAATAATAGCTTCTGATTTTAATACGTTTCTAAGTATCAATCCTAATGTAATATTTCTTTTTCCACCATTGTCATTGTCATTGCCACCAATGTTGCTGCATCCACCATGTTTGCCACCTCTACAACATCGCCTCCACCAACATTGATTTTGAGGGGCTTGTGCAAAATATATAAAAATGGGCCCTTAAATATTATTTATGTAAACAAAATTCATTAATGCTACACAAAGTTGATAATTATTGTGAAAATAATCAAAACAGAACAATAATAAATATATAATCTTAGATAGTCATATGAATCACAAGAATCTCTTAGCATCTTAACATTCGATTAAGGTGGGTGAGGGTGAATTAAAAAAAATGGTTAGTTAAAAAAAAATATTATGTAGAAGTGACGTGAGGGATAAAGCTGATTGATAAAATTAAGAAAAATGGTTAACCAGAAAAAACGATTATGCAAAGTGAGGAATAAAGCTGATAAAATATTAAGAAGAATGGCACAAGTTATTCTTTAAAATGTTTTCTTGAAAATGATAGATATATCTGATAGATATATTAGATATATAATTATAGATATAATATTATTAATAATATATATATATATCTAGTATATTATCTATATATCGAGGGAAGCGTTCAAACGAGAACATTTCTTATTGCGAGAACATTGAGAACAAATTGGGACCACATAATTTTTTTAATAAAAACGATAAAATAATATTCAGAAAATAATTAATTGTTACAAAACAAGAAAAAACTCACTAACCACAAACCACAGCACACCCAACCAACACCACCCAGCACCCTAACTACTACCCACCACCACCCGCCACCACTACCAACCACCACACCCACCACCACTACCCACCACCATCCACCACCACTCATCACTACCGACCACCACCAACCATCTCCACTACCACCCCTACCCATCACCTACCAAAACCACCACCCGCCACAACTATCACTACCTACCTCCACCACCCATCCTCACCACCCCCCACCCACCTCAATCACCTATCACCACCACCCACCACCCACCACCACTACCTATCACCACCCGCCACGACTAACACCCACCACTACCATCACCACCCACCACCATCACCACCCGCTAACACCACCCCTACCCATCACCCACCAAAACCACCACCATAACCACCAACCTCCACCACCTATCATCACCACCCTCACCCATCTCAATCACCTATCACCACCACCCGCCGCCGCCACCAACCACCACTACCATCACCTATCACCATTCACCACCACCACCCATCACCACTCATCTGTCACCACCACCTCCACCCACCCCCCCCAAAACCACCCCCCGCCACAACCAGCACCCTCCACAACCATCACCACCCACCACCTACCACCACCCACCCGCCACCACCACCCACCACCACTACCTACCACCCACTACTACCTTCACCACCCATCACCACCACCACCAACCACCACACCCACCACCACTCATCACTACCGACCACCCACCACCTACCACCACTACCGACCACCACCACCATCACCACCCATCACCACCACCACCATCCATAACCACCGATCACCACCACCTGCCTCCATCACCCCCACCCACCACCCACTCACCTCCACCATCCATCACTACCACCCACCCACTACCTACCATTATGACCACCACCTGTCATTACCACCAACCACCACCCAACACCACCACCAGCCTCCACCATCCATCACCACCACCCATCACCACCACCCACCACCTATCACCACCACCTGCCTCCACCACCCATCACCAACCAAAACCAACATACACCATCACCACCCTCACCACCAACCCACCACCACCACCTATCATCTTCACACATCTCCACCACCCATCACCACCACTCGCCACCGCCACCTGTCATCCACTATAATCACCACCCTACATATGACCCCCACCACCCTTCACCACCAGCATACACCTACCACATACAACCACCAAACATCACTAGACACCACCACCACCCATCACCCACCACCTGTGATTATGTGTATATAATCACATGTGATTATTTTTATGTAATCACATATGATTTATATGGACAATATTCTTTTTTGTCGATATAAATCATGTGATTAGATACATATAATCATATGTGATTAGATGTATTTAATCAAATGTGATTAGATATATTTAATCACATATGTCATTATTGTGTTCTCGATTCAATAATTATTTTTTGTCAACTTTAATCATATGTTATTAGATACGTATAATCACATGTGATTATATGTATCCAATCACATATGATTTACATGAACAATATTAATTTTTGATTTTTCGTTTCAATAAATTTTCTCATATATTTAATCACATGTGATTATAAGTATTTAATCACTTATGATTAATGTGGACATAAATTTATTTTAATGTTCTTGGTTCAATAGTCGCTCTTGTGTATATAATTACATGTGATTATATATATTTCTTCATATATGATTTATTGAATCAAGAACGTGAAAACAAATCTTTTTCACATAAATCGTGTGTGATTAAATACACGAGACCAACTATTGAATTAAAAAGGCAAAAATGAATATTGTCCACAAAAATCATATGTGATTAAATACATATAATCACATGTGATTATATGTATCTAATTACATAAGATTTATGTGGGAAAATTTCATTATTTCTTTCTCAGTTCAATACTTGTACTCATGTACTTAATCACATGTGATTATATGTATCAAATCACATATGATTTATATTGATAATATTCGTTTTCGCATTTTTGATTCAATATTTTTTTCATATGTATTTAATCGTATGTGATTGTATGTATTTAATCACATATGATTAATGTGGAAAAAGAAAAACTATTGAATCAAAACGTGAAAATGATTCTTGTGTACAGAAATCATATGTGAGTAAATGTACAAGAATAACTACTGAACGAGAATGTGAAAATGAATATTGTCCATATAAATTATATCTTATTAGATACATATAATCTCATGTAATTAAATACACAAGAACAACAACTGAATCGAGAACGCGAAAATGAATATTTTCCACATAAATTCTATGTGATTAGATACATATAATCACATGTGATTATATACGGTTAATCACATATGACATATGTGGACAATATTTATATTTGTGTTCTCGATTCAATAGTTGTTCACGTGTATATAATCATATGTGATTATATGTATCTCATCACATATGATTTATATAGACATCTATTTTTTATCCATATAAATCATATGTGATTAGGTACATATAATCACATGTGATTATATGTATTTAATCACATATGATTACAGTTACAAAGAACAATTACTGAATCGAGAATGTGACAATAAATCTTATCCACATAAATCATATATGATTGGATACATATAATCACATGTGATTATATGTATATAATCACATATGATTTGAGGTGGACAAGATTCATTTTTTCCTTCTCGATTCAGTAGTTGTGCTCATGTACTTAATCACATACGATTATACATATAATCACATGAGATAAAATACATGAGAACCATTATTGAATCGACAAAGCAAAAATGAATTGTGTCCACATAAATCATATCTGATTATATTCATATAATCACATGTGATTAGATTTATTTAATCACACATGATTAATGTAGAAAAAGAAAAACTATTGAATCGAAAATACGAAAATGAATTTTGTGTACATAAATCATGTGTGACTAAATGTAAAAGAACAACTATTTAACGATATTCTGAAAAAAAAATAGTGTCCATATAAATAACAACTATGGAATCGAGAAAGAGAAAACAAACATTATCCATATAAATTATATGTGATTAGATACATATAATTACATGTGATTAAATATATGAGAACAAACTATTAAATCAAAACACGAAAATGAATATGGTCCATATAAATAATATGTGGTTGGATACATATAATCACATGTGATTATATGTATTTAATAATATAAGATTTATGTGGAAATTATTTATTTTCGTGTTTTCGATTCAATAGTTTGTCTCATGTATTGAATCACATATGATTTATGTGGACAAGATTCGTTTTCGCGTTTTCGAGTCAATAGTTGTTGTCGTGTATTTAATCACATGTGACTATTTTTATTTAATCACATGTGATTTATATAGATAATATTCATTTT